GGTCTTTATCTGCCACTATTTTTAACACTCTATAAAACAATTGTAAATTCTAATGGCATTCACAGATACTTGACCATTATAGCTGCAAATGTTGATTGAGGTATACAAATCGCTGAGAACAACCTTCAGGTGAATAAAAACGCCAACTCTATAAACTATCCCATTGTTAATTTTATATGTTCCCGCCATGATATTAAAGGATCACCGAAGTAAGTTATCACTTTAAGAACATGTTTACAAATCGGTCTCTTATCAAGAGCATAGACAGGTTTATGAATAAAGTACTTTGCGTTTATTAAGTTTTATGCATTAAGTTGTACATTGTCAGAAATAAAAGATCACAGAATAATTGCGGCCAAATAAAGATTTCTATGGCACCATGTAGGAATAGGAGGATTACGCGTCGCCAGAGTCACTAGTCCTATCTTTTGATTCTCAAGCCCAAAAATGTATAAGCAAATGTTATCAAAAGAAAGCAAGAAAACATAACCCAGCTAGACGCGATATAAAACAAAATGGATACACGGATCCAAGCAATATAGAATAGCAACAAACTATTTATAAAAATTGAAATTTAAACATACACATAGGAAAAATAAAAGCATTAGAAAGTACTAAGGAAAATTAAGTCACAACATATTGATGACGATTGTAGCCTGTGCGATGGATTCCAAATGTTGAGGATTAGGTTGGAAATGAAACCTTTCCAAAGAGAATAGAGGGAATGAAAAATACATTATAGAGATGAAACAAGAAGAGAATAGTCTGCACACATCGAATGCCGTATTCAAACGACAACTTGACCTAATATAGTAGCACAGTCATATTGATAATATAAGATATAAGGCAGAGTATAAGAACAAACCTCCCAAGGAAGTATCACAAGGTATCACAGTTTTAAATTATTTTCTAAATCGACGTATAATCACTGCGTAGCGTTTTGTCAGAGCTGGAGGATATTAACTAAAACAATAGTTTCTCGATTCATTAACCGCATGTGGAAAATTGCAATATTGTCAAAAGAAAGTGGTCAAGGTTTTGATATAATGAATAGACAAGATGGTACAAACGCGAGGCTATAGCTCAAGAAAAAACGCATGCAAACTGAAAATTAATAATTTGAAGCTAAAGCTATTTAATGACAAACATTTTAGCAAATCTTATAACAAATATAGACAATATTGATACAGACCAAATAATCTGACATGGAACAATATAAATGCGCTATATAGAGAAAGTTAATCAACCTTTGCTTAATTAATTAAAATAGTTTAATAATACACAAAACGTAAAAAGCTGGTGCTGATGGCTCATTTCTGAGTGACATTTCTTTCTATTATTGAAAGAATATGACACTTATAACGAGATCAATAATTTAATAATAATTGTAATAATAATAACAATTGTCGCTCTCAGTTAACCAACTAATGAACATTATACTCATGTACCTAAGCCAGATAAAGTTCGACATATCCAACCAAAGTTCAAGTATGTATCTCTGTTAAACGGAGTGTATAATATAGCATCGTCCTGCCCTGCATATTTACAATTTCAAACTAATAGATATGCTTATTAATGAAACAAAACTGTCATCGACGAAATAGATTTATAGGTGAAGATATAAGAATTAGTTTAAACCTTTTCTACAAAACTGTACAGTGGAATACGGATATTTTTAATTTATATCATTATATCTTTATATCAAAACGCTTCGTCTATTGAATGTTTCCTGAAGCAATAGTTAGATGATGCAATTATTGTATAATTATGCCACATTAAATATTGTAAAAAATTAGGTCATATCTGATTTCATCCACTAAAATATACGATAAATAAAGGAAAGCAGATCTCACCATTCCCGTTTATTACTTTTGTATAAATTGTGGGACAGATGCTTATATATAAGTACTTAATAAATGATAGTGTAGCCATTGTACATATGCAGATTACATGCAAATAATTCATGATGGATGTGCTTAATCTACACAACATATATCAGAAACATTAAATTCTATAAAATGTTGGTGGTAGAGATCAATGCTGAGAAAACTAGAATTATACTGGTTAAATCATTGCCAAAGAAATAGAAAAATACAAAAGAATTTGGGGCTAAGGAATAATTACTCTGGTTAAATTAATCTATTGTTAAAGCATTTACTATTATTCTATTTATATATCAATTTATATCATTACTCAGTTTTCATCTAGGTTTTAAAAAGTGTCTTGAAAATTATAAAGAATTTATAACCTGGCAAAATAAAGCTAGACTCAATATTTTAAGACTGCAAAATAAATGATTACAATTATGTAAATTAGATGACAATTTAAAGCATTCAAACTAAACTTTATGGTAATCCCAATTGTACCAGCTGATCCGTTGACAAACAATCGTGTAATAAGTACATATATAGCAGTAAATATCTATCTATGATAGATATTATCATATCTACATACCAGAATGGCCGTTTCCTGATTAAAACAAGTATTAGTCACAAAAATGAAAACTGGTATTATCAACAGAGTTTGAAAACAGGCCTACTTCCACACATTAGGATTTGTCATTTAATTGCGCAGAGATTTATACTTGAGGGATAAAACTGTCCACTGTATGTGCTAATACTTGACGCAAATTACCCTAAACACATTTCAGAAAGACATAAACAATAATGCTCTGAATTATTTATGCTTTAACCGCATATATTTAATCGTTCGCTATTTTTCATGAAAATGTCTTTTGAGAACAGAGACTGTCACTCAGAACATTTATCAATTGGTTTACCTTAAGCAGCAATACGTATTAACATATACATTTATCAATTCTGGCAAAACAACATGTATCTAGTACCTTTTATATCATTAAGTAGTACAAATGTTTAATATTTTATGTGCATTAAACATTTTTTATTAGTACATATAAGATTCATGAAACTTAATGTAGGAAGTTATACCTTTCAATATGAAGGAAGATGTGAAGACTTTGTACAACTTTACATGCAAAAATGGTTGACATAAAATAAATATATTCAGATTTTAAACTAATTTATTTAAGTTAACTTTACTGGAATTACATTGATAATTCAAACTAACTGATACATTAAGAATCTTAATTTGGGGGAAATTAGGACTATGTACCTAGACAATCATAAACACCGAAATAATAATATCAATAGACGTTCAAAAACTGTAATATTTTTACACCAGTTTTAGTAAACTTTTAAGACCATTATAAATAACTTTGTCACAAATCTGAGGCAAAGCAATTAACACGTGTCTACAATATCAATGATATATTTTCATATGTGCTACCTTTACTGCTTTATAATTACCATCGACCTGAATACTTTTTACATATAGATTTATGATGTGCATTGGGCAGAACCCTTGAATATAATCCTTTCAAGTTATTTTACAATGATATATTGACCTCCTTTTATGAGATATGGTATTTTAAATTAAATTAGCTGTTACTTTTCTAGCATTATATATATATATATATATATATATAGAGAGAGAGAGAGAGAGAGAGAGAGAGAGAGAGGGAACGTTAAAATTCAGCAAAGTCAAACCAAAATTAGATTAAAACGTAACCACGTAGAATGTGAATGTAGAAGATGCATGAATTGAATAAGAGCAAGACGTAAATGTTTCTTATTAACGCAAATTATCTGATATGTCACTTGACTTTAGAGGTCCTACGTTTGTATCAGCCATCCTAGATATTTGTACATTGCTTTGATTTCAAATATAGCAAGTTAAAGTATAGATCTCTTTAATCATAATGTATCATCAATAATCGTCTTAAATAATGTAATTAATTTACGTTAAGAGTATTTCTCGGAAAACTGGGGGTGTTGCAAATTGACATCCAATTAACATCCTGCCATTTGGAAACCAAGCTAACCAGAATCGAACTAAACTATATCAATGCTGCTAATTCGGCTGTGAGGAAAACATTTACATGTAGTTTTTCACATATGGTCTGCACTCGACTTATAACTTATAATAAACGAAAACTTTTTCCTGGATCTTTGCTTTATTATCTGACATTTCGACGCAAATAGAGAAAATGCACAACTTGATAAAAGTGGCAACGGTAATAACTCTTGACTTACCACATGTAGAGTAGTGGAAACCGTCACAAGCAGCGAATAAAGCCAGTGACATGGCAACCAGAACCAGCATTTGACTCATTATTTAGGATAGGCCACGGCCAAATAGTGAAACATACTACTTTCATTGTGCCTCTTCTATATAGAGAACACTCAAGAGGTCACACCCTGTAGGCGAAAAAGATTACCATAAAGACCTTAAAGTAAAAAGAAAACATGCTTTGCACGATGTACGAACTTTCACATTAAACTCTTCAGGCAAGCTTATTATCAAATTACGATCAGACTATTAACGGTTCATAAGTATTAAAGAACAACTGCTTGAGGTACGGCAGATTATTGTCTTCACATATTCTTATCTTCGCAGTTACATTGAATCACAATACCTCTTCCTAAAGAAACATTATCAGTTTAGAGTACCTCAAAAAGTTCAATGTATTTCTTAATACATTGCAAAAATATTAAATTAAGATTTATAGATTGTTTGCAAATTATGGAAGAATATGCATGTGTATTTTATAGACGATATTCGAACCAGAAGTTGTCAGATATACATACATTGAATCAGTGGATCTGAATTTGTAATGCATCTACATTGAATTTAGACATGTGTAGAATATTTATGAATTTGAATGCAATGTCTCGAGTAAAAATTGTTAATATACATACAATACATTAACAAATTAACATATTCTATAAAACTAAAATAAAATGAGAGTTTATTTTATAACTCATAATCAGAAGAGTGTTTGAACAATTGGTATTATTTACCTAGAAACCTATTCTCTCTGAAATGAAACTTTATCAAAACACAAGTGCAAATGAATGTTATTGTCAACTAGAATCTTATATTAAGACCTATTAATTGCTTAATTATTTACTTACTTGACCGCTCCGGTTCCCTAGTGGTTAGAGCGTCTGCCTCGGATGTGGGAGGTCACGGGTTCAATCCCCAGTTGAGACTTATAAAATGGTATTAACGGCTGCCTCGCTTGGCGCCAGACATTGAGAGGTTATTGTTAGGACTGGTCGGACTAATGTCAGGATGTGACTTGGAGGGACATCATGCTACATGTTTGCGGCATGATGCCTCAGTGCTAGACATCACTATAAACTGCCACACTACAGACATCGTAGCGATATGACTGAAAAAAAAATTGTTAAAGCTACGCTAAAAATCCAAATCAAACACACCCATACTTACTCAATCACTTACTTACCTACTGCATAATAAGAACTTTGGTTGGTATGTCTGCAGAGAAACTCCTGAAATTATGTCTGTCTTTGGCAATTTTCTCTATTGTGCACCTGCAATGGAAGCTTGTCTTCATTTCAGTCGCAACAGTACAGCTCCATGTTGTCTTAGGCCTCCCAAGTTTAGGTTGACCTTTGGGTGTTCAATGAAGTTCTGCCCTTGATAAAGCTTTTGCATCCTCTTTCTCATTACATGTCCGATCCATCTGCATCATCTTCTTATTGAGATAGTGGTTTTGTTTCTTGTTGGCATCGCACACGCAGGTCATGGATGGAAAGTTTTTCTACCAGAAGATATGTAGTATCCTGCCAATGCTATTGGTGTCTAAATGAAAACTCTTGCAAAGATCACACGCTGTCATACACCATCACTCCGCGCCATACAGTACAATTGATAAGACAAAGGCTATGGTAAAGCTTAAGACGCGTTGATACAATACTGTCTTGATCTCTTTATTTAAACTGTTTATATTTCTGAATACTTGTCTGGCTTTGCTTGTCTGCTGTGGATGTATTTGTTGATGCCTCCATCCTGTCGGATAATGCGCTCCAGCTAAAACTATTGGTGTTGACGTAATCTTTCCTGATCGGTGTTAGTGAATCTATGTTGATATCCACAACCTCTTTTGTCTGACATACTCTCTATTCTACCGGGTCTCCAATTTACAGTGCCGTTGTGTCTTATCTTGCAATAGCTGGTGGCTGTGGGAAGCAATGCGAGATCATCTACAGAGCACAAGTCTTCAAATTTGGAAACAGTGTATATCTGACTCACCATCACGCATCTCCTTTTGTTCTCCACATGACCCAGTTGATTACTAGGTTGCAGAATAGTGTAGACATGTAAGTAGTAAACATTTTACAAGTTGCTTTAAACTTCGGCAACTTTATACATCAACTTCCCAGCATTATGATAAGTGTGTGTCATCGTAAAAATATTTGTTTGGTATTACAACACTATTAAAATAACTTTCCATGCATGACCTGGAATCTTCCTGGACTCGTATCACAAGTTTCTTTGATAGTCTTTCTATTTGTTTATCATCACTGTCCAAATCAATAAAAATCATGTGTCATTATAAAATACCTTCAAAGAAGACTCCACAGTTACGTTTTTGTCATAGGTTCAAATGCATATTTTTTGAGAGGCTAGATTGTAAACAAAGCAATGTGCCATGAAACACATATTTCATCTGGTTGGGCTTCAAAGCTTTATAACTCACTGTGTGTGTAATTTGGATTTTTAAACGTAGCTTTAACAATGGTTCAGTAATATCGTAACGAAGTCTGTAGTGTGGCAGTTTATAGTTTTATTTAGCACTGGGATATCATGTCGTAGACATGTAGCAGTCACATTATCCTGACACTAGGCCGACCAGTCCTAACAATGACCTCTGAATGCCGAATTCCTAACGGGGCAGCTGTTAATACCATTCATATAAATCTTTAATATTACTTGACTGGGGATGGATCGAACCCACGACCTCCCGCATCCCAGGCGGATCTATAAACAGTGTGCATTGTCGCCGAAATACACGTAGACAACTACACCATGAGCTTAATTTCTAAAGAATAAATAATAACCTCTAAATACAAGCTAAGAATACCTAAATATAATCCTTCATGCCTACCAAATGGAGACTCTAAAATGTAAGAAAAAATAGACAAACACTACATTTGTTTATACTGAACCTTAAATAATAATGACATCACATTATCGCGGCCATTTTAATACTGAGCAAACAAACAACAAATAGACTACTTTGACGGCCAGTTATTTTTACTCATTTAGATTCATATTTTGGACCCCCGAATCTAAAACTACATTTCAATTTACGATATATTTACTTTCGTAATGTGGTACATAGGTAATTCCGTAGATATGGCCTGACGCACGTAAATGTTATGTCAAATTAAGTTAGTATTAATTTTACAGTATACCTTGATGACAAATTCAGAAAACATTACGGGTAAGAAAAACTGGAAGATTAAAGAAAATAACGTAATATCGAGGATTATTTTTTATTAATATTGTTATTATTATTATTATTATTATTATTATTATTATTATTATTATTATTATTATTATTATTATTATTATTATTATTACCAAGTCTTAGGAGACATTGAACTTTGATTAATTCAACAATTTGCATACATTTTAACAAAGCATTGATAGTTCACGTTCTGTCACTATTAAATTAATTGGCAATGGGTTTATTGTATGTGTGTATTGTCGCTTTCCTAACAGAGTGACATTTAACGAAGTATAAGAAATAGGTCCAACATAAACAACCTTATGAATGGGTATCTACTGGTCGAGCGCTTATAGTGTTGCAGTGGTCATTTTTCCAGAAAGTATTCACTAAGCAGTGTAAGTGTAATATGTTAGAATAATTCTGAAATCGAATTTAGCAAGTCACCATCTATACTCAGTATGAAATATGGTAAAGTTTAGTGTATTAGTGTTTATGTCTGTATGTGCAGCGTATTGAATGTATTACAAGTTCTGGTCGTGGAGGAGGATGTGCAAAAAGTTTCCAGCTATCTTTGTCAACTGGAACTTGAGATTATTTGAGTAGGCCAAACTAATAGAATACATCATATTACCAATGCACACAAATGTCAAGCTTCAATAACGTCTGCAGCGTCGATCAGAATCAGTTGATCCCTAACAACACAAAGAACAAGGTTAGTGTGTCGGAGATGACCTTGAAGAGTACACCCCGCGTTCTAAAGACATCTTTCGCAGTATTCAAGGACATTCTGGTAAAAAGAGATGAATCCTAATCAGTGGTTGACAAAAGTTTAAAATTTTTAAGACTAAAACTATGAAAGAAACTGCAAAATCTGACTGAACAATATACCAGTTATAAACACTTCTGCAAATGAGGAAAATCTAGGATGTTACATAAAGAATAATAACATTCTGTTTACAGAATTTTCAAACACAGTGGTTATAAGTGATATGACAGCAAACGTACGGTAAAGCGTTACATAAGTGAGGTAACTATTGAATACAGCTGGGATATTATTGAAACGAACCAACAGACTTATAACAAGAAGCACATTTCGACCACACATTGTCAATTTGTTTACATATAAAATATAAGGAGACAGTATTACAAAGTGAAGTAGTCACGTGATATTGTCCTTAACGAGATTTCTTCTACTGATGCGCAGAACAAGGAACAGCATGGTAATGGCTCGATAAAGGGTATTCACAGCGTATCTAAAATACTGTAAACGTTTAATGAGTGGTTACATTTATATGTTGATGAAATATGGAAAATAAAAGCAGTGTCAATAAATGTAAATGTAACTCATTATGTGTAGCTGGAGAATTTGATATCAAGGCTTTTAAACTTTTCCATAGCTTTCTATATGTGATTAAATCACTATTAGCAAACATAAATTAATAGTGAATTATATGTACATGTTTTCTAATCAGCTTTTAAGTATTAGTAAATTTTGAGAAACCATAACTCGTTCTTAGATATCGCTTCGGTTGTCTTGCGATCACTATCAAGCACGGTGGATCCTTAATTTTGGATTCGCCCATATTTAATCTGCAAGTTCATCCGTACATTCAGAAGAATATGTTTGGAATCATAGAAAATGAAAAAGCTCAAGAGAAAACCAAGCGCCAGAACTATAAATCATATCGTTTCTGGCAATTTTTCAAGAAGATATATATGTGTGTATATATATATATATATATATATATATATATATATATATATATATATATAGATAGATAGATAGATAGATAGATAGATAGATAGATAGATAGATAGATAGATAGATAGATAGATTCTAAGTCCAGCATACCATGTTTCCACTAAAAGGAGAAGGGGTGAAGACGGATCAATGGAGAAATTAAACTTGTCGCTTCTGTTAGATGGAATCGTAAACCTTTAATGTTAGCTAATCTAGGACAAGGAAATCTTCAATCCCAAAACTCTGCTGCCTTGCGGCTATACCTACTCACAGGAAAGGCTGAAGTATTACACCCTAGCAGGAAATCGGGAGACATTGTCCCTCTGGTGGAGTTAATACAATAACTTTAACGTCATCACGGCAACTCCTGATACAATGTTGGTGCCGAGCTGTATCGGCATTTCGTTCCCTTGGTTTCACCATCTGCATAAAGAGGGGTATCTGCTACAGGGGCAACTACTGATTCTCCATAAAACCCAGACCAGTCGTTGTAAGGTGTCGACAGAACAAGGGAAGCAGCAGTTTACCGGTTTTAAGCAATAACTCGATTGGCGTAGACAAAACGAACCTATGATGCATGGTGTAAGCTTTGCTGTAAAGAACACCTCGTCGCCTTCATTCGTTCTCTGTCATTGTTCACTGAGAGGATCACTGCCCTCCAGCTGTCAACTTCCTTGGGTACAGTCAACATCTTCAACGTGTACGTTCCAACCCTTTGCTCCACCCCAGAGGAGAAAGACCAGTTATACTAGGCTCTGTACCAAGTAGTATTCAGTAATCTAAGCAGTGAAGTCTTCTACTCTCTAGGAGACTTCAATGCCAAAACTGGAGCTGACAACACGGCACGGCCCACCTGTTCCGGCTCTCTTGGATGGGGCAAGATCAACAATATCAGTTTATGTATGACCACCACATTCTTTAACTGCAAGGAGAAACAACAGGTCTCATAGAGACACCCACGTTTGATCCACTGGCACCAGCTGGACCTCG